TCGGGAAATCGGCGTACAGTTCGTCCATATATATGAGTACCTGTCCTAAGAAGCGGTTCGTTTCTGTGAGAAATGTGATCTTAAGGCCATTTTTTCCCTCCTCCAGATTGGACGACGCCTTCCCGTATTGAATGGTCAGCCAATACATGGCTTTGCCATTGGCTTCGTTGCAGTTGTCATAGAGTGTGACTTCAGTGACGGAGAAGACGTAACGGTTCCACAGATACACAAATATAACCGACAATATGTACGCTAACGATACGATTCCTGTGGCGGACAGACAATTCGTGTCACTATTACTTCCGAAGATATTCCTCAATATGTCCTCAAAACTCATTGTTTGATCAATTGATGGATAACTTAATCGAGGAAATGGTTTGACAGAAATATATCAATACTTTTGAAAGTTTGAAAACAAGAGTTAGATTATAGCGAAAGTAAAGTAGAGTTATTTGAAATGAGAATCAATTTTAAATACAATTTCTATTGTTTGCATGAATTCAATGAAATGTTTAAATTTAAATGAAAAATATGTTGTAATTTACAGAAAAGTAACGATAAAATTATTAATGTTTTAATGCATTCAAATGAACACTAAAACCAAAACCAAAACTAATTCAATCTAACAATTGAGATACAAATGAGTGAACACTTCTCTCACTGCATGTCTTACACACTGTAAGAGTGAATGCATTCAATACTGCAATCGATTCTGTCATTCATTTCGCGAGACTTTCAATCATTTCATTGAATTTGAAACTAAAAACTGTTTGAAAAGTGATTTCTGTTTCGAAGAGTTTTGTTTCGATTAAACCATTCATTCATTGCTTAAGTCTTTATCTCTGAGTTTGCGATCCATTTGTGTTGTCATTCAACTCGACGTCTGTTTTAGTGATTGTTTTGAAGACAATGTTTAGCTTCAGATCTCTTCTAACGAAAGGCGGTCTCAGGTTTGAGTGATTGAGACATGAATTCAATTGACTAACGATTAAAACTAATGATAATTTCATTTCATGTAAACGTATGGCAAACAGGACTCCACTCTTGGTTTCGGTTGCGATNTTGAGACATGAATTCAATTGACTAACGATTAAAACTAATGATAATTTCATTTCATGTAAACGTATGGCAAACAGGACTCCACTCTTGGTTTCGGTTGCGATCATCGGTTCCGACCGTTACTTCGCATTCAAGAGAAGAGAGTCGGCGTCGGGTTTGTGGTCGAAAGGGGTGTCGCGAACGCCGTTTGGTCTGAGAAGTGTGTATCTGTCGGGCAATGAGAAGACTGTGAAGACTGTTCAGGATATTTGCAAAGAGAAGTTCCCGGCAGTGGTGGCCGTCAGACAACAGGTCAAGTCCGACAAAGACGCCGATATTTGGTGTCATCACAACACGTCTTCTGGATTTTTCATCTCTCAAGAGAAGGTTGTGCTCATTCTGACCACCGCTCGGGCCGTCGGCAACGCAAAGGTGGTGGAAGTGTACAACAAAGAGGGCGAATATGGCTATGGGTTTAGTGTTGTCCTCTATATTGATCCGACTATGGATTTGGCGCTCTTGTCTCGTCCTTTCCGTCATTCCGTTGCCATCGATCCGGTCGACTACTCGGGCAAAAAAGAGCGCGTGAAAATGCCCGCAGTTGGTCCCAACGTCCAGCCAACAGTCTTAACTTTGGCCGACGGGGACGTGCAGTACGCGCAAGACGTGGTGGCGTTGGGCAGTGCCTGGGATTACAACACTGTTAGCAAAGGCATCATTAGTCACCCCAATAGGTCGGGCGACGACATCACCAAAATTGGCAAAAAGTATCCGTTCATTACCGAAACAGCCCATTATCTGCAACACACGGCTTCGTTCGCCTTCGATGACTACGGCGGCGCTCTCGTCAACATGAAGGGAGATGTTGTGGGCATGTATTTCTATCTGCAACTCATCGACAACATCGTTATGTACTTTGCCATCAAAACCAAAGACATTAAGAGTATTGACGAACACTTTCAAAGCATACCATTTATTATAACTAATGAATTTGATTTATTCTTCGGCAGAATTCATTGCTGACGCCAAAGCATATCAAGCTATTCTGGGGCCCGAAGAGTGTCAAAAACGAATTGCTACAATCAATATCACTGAGACCCGTCGGTCGCCATTCTATCCGCTCGATGCCAAACCCGAATCCAAATGAGCCCAACCACTGCCCAACACATCCCTCTCTTCTACTTATTCTTCGCGTGTTTTTCTACTCTTTTTTGTCGTAATTTTAAGTTTTTTAAATTGTTTTAAAAACTATTTTTTTGTCGCAAATGTTTTGTTTTGCACTTTTTTGTTATCTTAACTTGTTTTTAATAGTTTTAAATTTTGTGTTACTTTTATCCTTACATTAGATTTATTTTTGTTTTCATTATTTTACAATAAAAACACTTATTTATTAAACGAATAGAATATTTAAAAGTTGTATTTTAATTAGTAATTAAAAGTTTATTAAAGATTATTTAAATTAATAGTGTTTTAATTCATTCAAATAAACACTAATTTGTGCAGAAATACAAATGAGTGAACACTTGTCTCACTCTATATCTTATACACTGTAAGAGTGAATGCATTCAAAACTGCAATCAATTCTGTCATTCATTTCACGAGAATTTTAATCATTTCATTGAATTTCAAACTAAAAACTGTTTGAAAAGTGTTTTGAATTTCTGTTTCGATTAAATCATTCATTCATTCATTCCTTAACTTTTTGTCTCTGAGTTTGCGATCCATTTGTGTTGTCATTCAACTCGACGTCTGTTTTAGTGATTGTTTTGAAGACAATGTTTAGCTTCAGATCTCTTCTAACGAAAGGCTGTCTCAGGTCTGTATTGATTGAGCCATGAATTCAATTAACAAACAATTAAAAGTAATTATAATTTCATGTAAACGTATGGCAAACAGGACTCCACTCTTGGTTTCGGTTGCGATCATCGGTTCCGACCGTTACTTCGCATACAAGAGAAGAGAGTCGGCATCGGATTTGTGGTCGAAAGGGGTGTCGCGAACGCCGTTTGGTCTGAGAAGTGTGTATCTGTCGGGCACTGAGAAGACTGTGAAGACTGTTCAGGACATTTGCAGAGAGAAGTTCCCGGCAGTGGTGGCCGTCAGACAACAGGTCATGTCAGACGCGGACAACAATATTGAATGCCATCTCAGCACGTCTTCGGGATTTATATTCCACAAAGATGGTTTTATTCTGACCACCGCTCGGGCCGTCGGTAACGCACAGGTAGTGGAAGTGTATAACAAAGAGGGCTATTATGGTCATCGGTTTAGTGTTGTCCTCTTTATTGATCCGGCTATGGATTTGGCGCTTTTGAGTCCAGGACAAAGCAACAAAGCATTGTGGTCCATTGACTACTCAGGCAAACACGAGCGCTTGGAATTGCCTACAAAACAGGACAAACCCAATGAATTTCTAAAGTTTGCGGCGGAGGACGTCAAGTACGCGCAGGACGTGGTGGCGATCGGCAGTGCCTGGGATTACAACACTGTTAGCAAAGGCATCATCAGTCACCCCAATAGGACGGGCGATGACATCACCAAAATTGGCAAAAAGTATCCATTCATTACCGCCAACAAGAAATATCTGCAACACACGGCTTCGTTCGCTTTCGATGACTTCGGCGGCGCTCTCTTGAACATGAAGGGAGAGGTTGTGGGCATGTATTTCTATCTGCAACTCATCGACAATATCGTTATGTACTTTGCAATCAAAGCCGAAGACATTAAGGGTATTGACGAACACTTTAAAAGCTAAACAGTTTACTAACACTAATAAAATTGATTTATTTGTCACTAGAATTTCTTGTGAAAGCAAATCCAGACCAATACACAAAAGCAGATTATACAAAGGTTCTCGGGAGCATGAAATACAGCAAAACCCGTCGGTCCCCGCACTACACAGACAAATAAAGCCCATCGACCCCCACATCCCTGTCCTCACTATTTCTCGCGTGTCTTTTGCACTCTTTTTTGGCTATAATTTTAAGTTTATTTTTAAGATTATTTTGTTTTTAAAATGTATTTTTTATTGCAAATTGTTTTTTATGTATATATTTTTTGTTAACATGTTTTTAATAGTTTTGAATTTTGTGTTAATTTTGTCCATACATTAGATTTATTTTTGTTTTCATTATTTTACAATAAAAACACTTATTTATTAAACGAAATGATTATTTATAATTTCAATATTAGTCGCAATTTTTAAATCAAAAAGTTATGAAAAGTTCAAAACTTTGCTAAAAAAGTTTCCCAAAAGTTCAAAACAATGCAATCAAAGTCAATAGAGAGGGCGTCGACAGAGAGCGCCGGTATTTAAACGTAAGTAAAGCTGACGTCAGTATAAACTGGAAAATGCAATGCATTTCACGTATTGCTCAATAAGTTTTGCAATCAATGTTTACAATACCATTGAGTACTGAATCACAACTCAAACCGTAATAAAACACAACACAAACAGACCTCTCATTCAATACTGAATACACAAAACGTAAGTTTAAAAAAATACATCATTTTTATGTCACTCTCTGTACTGAATGTCAATCAATGTTTGGTGTGTTTAGTAAAGCACTCATTAATTAACGATTACTTTGTTATCATTTGTTGATCTGATGGCCGATTACTACCAGATGCCGGACCAGCAGTGGTTGCGATCAGTATTCACACGCGTGGACACAGACAGGAGCGGTGCCATCAATGCCAATGAACTGCAGACCGCCCTCTCGAACGGCACGTGGAAACCATTCAATCCCGAAACGGTCTGTACTGGACATCACCCTAACTAATCCACACCCTTTTCCCCAACCTCTCACTTCACTAAACTGTTTGATGTGTTTTTTTGATGGCAACGATAGGTGCGGCTAATGATCGGGATGTTTGATAGGGACCACTCGGGAACCATTAACTTCGATGAGTTCGCCCAACTGTGGCGTTATGTCAACGATTGGCTCAACTGTTTCCGCTCTTTCGACTCGGATAACAGCGGAAGTATCGATCACTCAGAGCTGAAGCAGGCGTTGACCACTTTCGGGTACCGACTGTCGGATCAGTTCTATAATATACTGATGCGAAAGTTTGATCGCGACTCGAAGGGTGCCATCAATTTCGACGATTTCATACAACTGTGCGTTCAGTTACAGTCGTTGACCACCAGTTTTCGCGCCCACGACCAGGACATGGATGGCTGGATCAACATCTCATACGAACAGTTCCTCACACTTGTCTTCAACGTATGCTGAATAATAATGATTGTGTTGTCGTTGTTGTCGTCGTCTCCCAAACACTTGTGTCAATCACCTCCAGTCCCATCCCAGAGCACACGTGTCTCACTTTTTGATAACTAAATTTGCTTTAATTGCTGATTGAATTTCAATTGATTGTATTTAGCTGTAGAGCCCATCCCTTACTGTTAACTCCTGTGCCAAACATAACTGTCCAAAATGTTAATGAGTTTAATTACCAGAGCTTTTCACACGATATCATTTCCAATCACTTTAATTGTTTGTTTGTATTTTCAAACTTTTCTAATCTCTATTTTATAAGCCTTTTCTCTCACTTGAAATTTATTGTATTTTTTAATGATTTTCTATGAATTATTGTTTAATTTTTGAATTGATTTTTATCTTAAAGATTTAATGGATTTATTAATTGTATGGATCGCTAATACACAGCATTGCATGAAATGACTGATTAATCTTATCTAATCCGTGGCCTTAAACGCACTGTTAATTCAAAACTAACACTTTATTGTTTTTAAAATAACCAAAATATTAACCATAATTAAAATTTTTAACGTTTTTAGTTTATATAACACCGCTTACTCTCATTGGATACTTATTTTTATTGAAACAAACTCTGATCTAATTTAGTAACTTATTTGTGATCTAGTATTAATGCAAAGTCTGTGTCCATAATTAGTAAATACAAATGTTATGAACAAAAAGAGTTTAAATTCAATTAATAATTAGTTATAACTTAAAAATATTTGATAATTATCTGATATTTGAATTCCGATACTTTATAATAAATAATATATCAATTATTTTGTAATACAAATTAATTTTATTAAATAAATAACAATATCTATTGAATTTAATTGCAATTTATTGATCAGAATTGAGATGAAAACCAAACACTATATCATCTAAATATTACTGATTGTGTTATTCATTGTATTGAATGTGAGGAAAAGTATAACAAATTAAATTAAAACTTGTTTTAAACTTATAACGAGATAATAATTTAGAATTGAAAATCAAATTATTTTGTATTTTGCAAAAATCAATTCAAATGTTAAGTATTGATAAGAATTGAGATGAAAACCAAATTCCATATTATCTTAATCTCACTGTTTGTGTCAATTAATTGTATTGAATATGAAGACAATTATGAGACTCTGGAATCATTAAATAGTAGATCCAGTGGTGACCAAAACGATAATATGGACGCAAACAATGAGGCGATTGATCGTAATATACGTGAAGTAAGAATCAAATCGGAGAACGTGTGCAACAAAATGGACGCTTCGGTGGCGATGGGAGACAATAAGATGTATCTCTTCAGTGATGATCTGTATTGTGAAGTGGACTATAAGTTCCGGTTCTTAAGCGCCCCGACATATGTGCAGAACAAATGGGGTTCAGTTCTGAAGCCTCCCTTTTCGGCCGCCTTTACGTTTCCAAACGGACGGTTCGCTTCCAAAACCATTTTGATCGCCGGTAAGGACTGGTGGCGATTGACTCACAACGGAGTCATTGAAGCACATAATGTGATTCACTGGAAAGGTTGGCCCGAAGCCAGTGATGTTAAACTGAACGCCGCTTTTGTGTTCAATACGGGCGCCAACTCTTCGACCGATTCTTTTGTGTACTTTTTGTTTGGCTCTAAATATAGTGTATATGTGTTTGGAAGCGATGAGCAGACAATGATAGCGCCCACACCTCTGGTGGTGATGGAAAAGGCGGTCATCACTGAAGACAATGAGTTAACGTTTCTGAACAGACCGGTGGAGGACAGGAGTGGGAAGCGTTTGAAAGTGATTACAGATATACTGGACGTGAGCGCAACGATGAACCTCTTCTACGAACAGTCACTGTATTTCTTCGGCCGGAATCAGAAGTACTGCAAAGTGGACGTCACCGACAAGAAGTACGGCTGCGATGTCCGACCCATCCATACACTCATAAATTGTGAACAAAGTTCGGTGAATATATCGTCAGATCCCGTTCGGCCCAATGAGCCCCTCATCTCTCTTAACAATCGCCAACCACTACAACAACCCTCACAAACATCACAACAATCTTCCGTTCATTTCATACATAACTTTTGTTTTCTTTCATTTATTGTTTGTATTTTATTAATTGAATTCAATTTAAATCAATTTTTCTTTTCAATAAACTGAGAATTGTTTTTATAACTAAAATAGTTTACATTTATTCTTAGACTTTAATCCTATTATTAAAACGAGTTATTAAACTAACATTTATCGTGAAATTTAAACATTATTTTTATAAAATAAGCAAAACATTTATAACAAATATTTAACGTATTTTTAATTTAAATTTTCAGAAATGTCTTTATTATCTCATTTGATAATTGCGTTGATTTGCAATGTATTGATAGTTGAAGTGATGGCAGAACCGGTCGCCCAGTGCTATACAAATGTGTCGTTCAGTACCGGCAAAGCCGTCAACTGTTCTCAAAGTCAACCTTTTTGTTGCTATGATTTGACGGGAGTTTACTATTGCTGTGATGAGAGACAGTTGTGGACAGTGTTGAGGATCGGATCCATTATCTTCTCGTCTATGTTTATCTGGACTGCGATTATTGTGGGATTCTTTGCCTTATTTGTCAAAATAGATCCATTGGATCAAAATAAGAGTGTCGGAGAAGAGGTCAATGAACACACAGTAAAGACACTCCAAACAGACGCCGGATTTTCAGTCATGTTTGGCACCGCAGAAGCCAAAAAGGTATCTCACTTTTAATTAGCTTTGATTTATAAAATCTAATTATTTATCTGTTGTCAAGTCATTGACAAAACCAGAGATTATTACTAAACCAGAAGAGAAGAAAGTGGACGACAATAAGCCCAAAGAGAGCGAAAGTCCGAAGCAGACCGAGTATAAGCCCGCGTGGGGTCAATACGACGGCACCGTTGAGAAGAAGGCCTCCGAATCCAAGATTGGGTTCAGAAAAAAGGAATCAAAGACTAAACAGTCGGAGGAAAAGTTGAAAGCAGTACTAAAACCTGAGAACAACACGAGTCCCGAGAAAATGACAGAATTTGAACAACGAGTGGAAGCTATTAAGAAATCCCTCAAAAAGTGAATTATTTACTAGAATTCACTTAAAATATCATTTTATTGTTTTATTTAAATCTAGTTTTATTTTTTTATAATTGTTTATTTAATTTCTTATAAATATCTGTATTTAAATGTTTTTCAAAAGTAATTGATTTACAACTTTATCTTAAAATAAATTCAATACATTTAAAAACACTTATTTTGCAAATTATTGAGTCGTTTCGTACAAGACTTGATTCCCGCGAATGTGTTTCACGAGTCGATCATTTTTAAACACTTTAACCTCTCGTTCAGTGTTTGGCAGAACTGTTCCCTCAATGCGAACCCTCTCGCCGTCGGTCTCAATGCGGATCACTTCGTGAGCGCCGGAACTGCAGTCCAACACATCGTTTACTTCGATATGAATTCCCATTAAATCGATTTCAATGTTATTTTCAAATCTATGAAATGATTTCTCAGACATTAGTTGATATTATATCTCATTACAGAACTAATTCATAAAACAATTAAATTGATTCTCAATTAAATAAATAATTTGACAAATAATTTTAAATTGAAGTAATTTTTTATCAATGTTTTTAATTTAAATATGCAAATAAATTCACGCGAAGACTTTTATTCAAATTATAATTACTTTTATAGACAATAAATTTTTGTTAACTATTTATGAACGTCTGGTATAGTTATTACAAGTAACTAAACAATTAAAACAATTAATAATAACAATTAAAAGTACATAAAATGCAATCACCGCTCGAGAGTATAACACAATTAAGCGGGCAATTAGTCGGACACCGGAATCGGTTGGGGTTTAAATCAAAATTCTTTGCCAATCAATAGATTTATCACAAAATTGTAAGAATCAGTTGTGAGGGGAATGTCGGTGTCACAGAACCAGGCGTCCTATACCTGGAGATTGAATCCGTCATACATTCAAAACATTCAAAACCGAAAGTTCAAGAATGACTACATTATGAAGGAAGAGCTCGGAAAGGGAGGCTTCGGGACAGTCATGAGGTGTGTGACCAAAGATGGGAAGAAAGAGTTGGCCGCGAAGATCAACAATTCGCCCGACAAGAAGGCGAGTATGAAGATGGAGGCCGACTTCAGTAGAGACCTGTCCTTCGACGCAAACAACCCCAATGTTAAACCGCACATGAATTTGGTCAACATATTTGACTCCATCACCGAAGGAGACATTGTCTACAATCTGTACGAAATGGCGTCCGGAGGCGATCTCATGGAAGCCATCAACGAGAAGGAGTTCTTCGCTGCTGTGGACGCGGCGATTGCCATTAAACAGATCCTCGATGGCGTCCACTTCATGCACGAACGCGGTATTCTGCACCGGGATCTCAAGCCCCACAACATTCTGGTTCAGGGAAGAGATATTCAGGTTTACAAAGTGACCGATTTTGGGCTCTGCTGTAAACGCCACACAGATGCTCAGGGTCAGTTCATTGCAAAGGCTCATGGAAACGCCGGCACTCCTCAGTATCAGCCGCCCGAGTGTCACATTCCTCCCAAAGAATACGACACCGATTTCGACATTTGGAGGTTTGCTATTGTTTTGTCACTTTTGTTTGCAAACTAAATGTGTGTTTTCTAATGGCATTCACTGTGGGCTCAGTTGCGGTTGTATTCTCTACCAAATGCTGGCCGGATATCCGCCGTTCTTCGACTCAGACGCGGCTAAATTGCAAAGGAGTATCATAGACATCGACTTCCCGTACCCGAGCCCTGAATGGTATGCTTTTCAGAACCCAATCTCCCATTACATACTTGTGTTAAAAACTCACAACTTTTATGCCCTAATGGTTGGTCTTCAGGGAAAACATGGCCGACGCCAAAGATATGATTGATAAAATGCTGGCACCCATAGAAAATTTTGCCCAAGTTTGGCACAATAGCGGTAATCGGGTGTACCCCAAAGCCAGATACAATCGCCAGACATACGCCCAACTCATTACTGACAAGTTTTACACGGATGGCGCCGCTCAGCACATCCGCACCAAACCCACGGAAACCACGCTTGAGAAGTATAACGCCCGATGTGTCGCCAAAAAGGCTATTCTTGAGGCTTACTGGGCAGCTAACCCACCGCCACCCCCACCGGCACCGTAACCCCACACCCACTACAACCCCTCCAACAGTACAATCCAGTGGTTCCGCTGTAAATATACGCCAAACAGTAGTTTTGTAGATATTTTTATATTTCAAACCCATTGACAGAATCATTGAAATAAAAGACAATTTTTATGTGAAATAAAATAGATTTGAATTTTTTTCCCATTAAATTGTTTATTTTTTATCCGCAATAACTTTATATTTTGATAATACTTTTAAAACATGATTTCATAAATGTTTAACCAATAATTTCTGTAATTGCAATGTATAATAGCAATACCATTTTTTTCCCATTAAATTGTTTATTTTTTATCCGCAATAACTTTATATTTTGATAATACTTTTAAAACATGATTTCATAAATGTTTAACCAATAATTTCTGTAATTGCAATGTATAATAGCAATACCCAAACGTCAATGATTGGTCAATTCATAGTTTTATCAAGAGTTCCGTAAAATATGCGTTCCTATGCTTATGATAAGATGATTAAATGACCACGGTTTAGTATTGCACCCAAATATACTGTATACATACATTTAGTAAAGCAATTTATTTGGTATTTAATTTAAGATACGCTTATAATTTGACCAAACTGGTTTTATCGTATTTTTCAATAGTGCAAGTATTGAACTAATCAACTATTTTATAGCTATAAGAGTTGATTAGTTGTGGAAATTATTTCAATAATTTTTTGGTCAAAATTAAAAATTACTAAAAAGTTGTGAAACAATGTTTGCATTTCAACGATGAGTCAAATGTGATTTCACACTTCACTTCACTGTCTAGCGTTAGCAGTGCTTCGCTTATCTCTTAATCCCATCAACTATTTTACTATAAAATATTTATTTGCAATTTTTTCAATCGCTATTTAAGGCACGGATTGCACGCATAGATCACTCATTTCGGACCATAGTTTCGTCAAATTCACACATTTGTAACCAACTTTGAAAACAGCACTCGTTGTTCAGCGCATACATTGTCTGCGAGAAATGGCCGCTAATACCAACCAAAGCGTCAGCTTTTCGATGTCGACCTCTCCGTCCGGATCAGCCATTGCTTGCCGTTGGAGAGACTTTGCGGTCGCGCCCAACACTGTCCACAGACCCCAAAGTGGACACAACAAGAGCTACGCTATTGTCAAATGCGGTGCCATTGAAGGCGTCGATGGACTGACCCTATTGTGGGACAGAGTAAGACTGGCCACAAAAGACGGTCTCCTCGGCTACTACTCGGCCCGATCTGATGACCAACAAGTGGTGGCCATTCACTACACCAACAAATGTGATGAGACAGTGATTGAGTCAATGCTGACGTATTGGGGCGCCGGTCGTGTCGAGCATAAACACGACACCGCATTCAATCGTGATCAATACCACCCTGATGCTATCGCACTATTGTTTGGTCAAATGACAATCAAGAATGAATGAAATACCGCTTCATTTACATCATATTTAATGTCTTATAATTGTATCACTTTTAGTAGATTTTTATATCTATGTTTGTATTGAGTCTTTGTCTTCAGTATTGACATTATTTTTTAATCTTATGTTTAAGACATTTATAATTCAATTGAATTTTATTGTAATGAATCGTAAAATTAACTAAATATTTGCCACAATAAATGAATTTATTTTAAATACAAATTTTAAGATCAATTTTTTGGACAAAAAACTTTGAACATAAAAGTAACATCTCTGGACGTACTTATTGAACAAATGCGGTTCTAATATATTTTGAATGCAAAAACGTGGTGTTTTTATGACAACATTTGACCAAACATTGTGTTATATGAAAAACTATTCGTACAATTAGTGGTCATTACAATCACAGCCATGAGTAAGCGGTGGCCCTATTGGCGAGAGAATGAGTTGGCGCCTAACGATGTGCTCCGACCACATCCGGGACACAACAAGAGTGTGGCGACTGTTGCCACAAATGCCAGTTTCAGTGTCCATGATATGAACCGATTGTGGACTAAAGTAAGTTTGGCCACAAGACATGGTTTGCTTGGCTACTACTCGGCCCGTAATACCACCCAAACTGTGGTTTGCGTTCATTTCGCTAATATTGACGATAAGGACACTATTGAAGCTATGCTCAAGTTTTGGGGCGCACATGAGGTGCAGCACAACCATGAGGGCCAGTTTGGGCCTGATGTGGTCACCAATGATGATGATATGATTCGACTATCACAACAAGAGTAATAAAGTGACATTTTACCCCAATATTTGCAACTTATTGCAAATATACTTCAATTGAATGTTATTGAAAAATGTAAATTTATTAAATGTTTTTCACAATAAATGAATTTATGAGAAAATATTCCTTTTATTTATCATTATTTAAACAAATATTACAAAAAATAACATTTTTAATAAGAGTAACAAACAATAGATTCAAAAGCAAAAAAATAAATGCCATAAAAAACAAAATATTGAATTAAAGGTACAATTTGTTGATCTGCCGTCCAATGAGCCAACGCCTGATCTCTTGAGTTCCGGCGCCGATCTCATAGAGTTTGGCGTCTCTGAGCAAACGGCCGGCGCTGTACTCATTGGAGTAACCGTTGCCACCCATGAGCTGAATGGCATCTAACGCTAACTGAGTGGCCGTTTCCGACAAACTGAGTATAGTTCCCGCGCACTCCTTCGTGAATGGACTCGCTTTACCCAATGGTATGCGCCCTCCGGAGCGACGCTTATACT